GTGTGTGTGTGTGTGTGTGTGTGTGAGAGAGAGAGAGAGAGAGAGAGAGAGAGAGAGAGAGAGAGAGAGAGAGAGAGAGAGAGAGAGAGATTTGCTCTAATTATTTGTTTCTGCATCATGTTATTGCAGTGACCATGCAGAAAATTAGGAAAAAACTGTGGCTAAAACCTCAGAATAGCGTTTGGCGTGAGGATCGTAAGGATTTCTGCAACTGGGATGGTGTGAAGTGTACTAAACGGCTGGTGGACAAAATGTGAGTTCCATTCCACACTTGTGGTGAACCCTCTGCTATACTTTCTTGATCCTTGTTAACCCTATGGGCCTCAAGTTTCATAATTTATCCACAGAAAAGGACATCATCCTGAATTCTGACGTCTGACATCCTGCACACAGGTCAAAATGGTCCCAAAAAGAAATAGAGCAGCTAAAGCAAGGCGTCCTCGTTGCCTTTTTTCACCACGATGTGCACGGCGATTTCGCTGCGCAAATGTCCACACACACATGAAAAGCAACTACAGTCACTCAAAAGTTGAATCTCAAAAGTTTTCTTTGCGTTATTCCGTCCAGATGCATGCATTACATTGATGCCAGGACCTCCAGTAGGTCTAAAATTCCAAACGATGGTTTAGTCACTTCAGTGACCCCACCACCAACCCCAAGGGCACCCAAGGCGTGCTGCAATATAGCGGGAGGTCATGGGCAGGTTCACTGTACAGGGGGCATGGAAGGGGAGGCCCTTTTTTTTCTTCTTCTTTGGAGGTAAAACTTTGTGTCCTGACTTTGGTGATTCTTAATTGCGATGAAAAATTCCAAAAGACAACGTGGATGTACCTCCCGCCTCCTCCTGCTGCTGGTTCCGCTAGTGCTACTACTGACTATTACAATGCTGGTCTGCTACCATCACCACAGCTGCTACTACTACGACTACTACTGGGCACTACCACACTGCTGTAGTTCCCCTCTCCTCTCATCCTTCTCTTCTCCCCCTGCTCCTCCCGCTCCTATTCCTCCTCTGCCACCTCCTCCGTCCCCCACCTCCTTTCCGCACTCCTGCCTCTCCTCCCCCTCCGAGGTGTCAGGAGGCGAGGACAGTCAACGTGACTCTGGTAGCCGTTCTATTGTAGCTCTCTTGTTCTATCGAATAGAAAGAGTGGTCGCCAAGCAGCAGTTTCTGGCCTGAATGTTGCACCAGATACTGTTCTAAGGACGGGTATTGAGTGGAAAATAAGGTACCATGAGGTTGCCCTGGCATAGTCTCTTTACTTTTTCCTTTTCTATACTTACTCTATAATAAAGGGAATAGCGGGTCTCGCGTGATGTCGCTGTGAACCCGGGGGCGCTGGGTTGGGAAATTGGCGGCGGACAAGGTGCGGGCCCATGGGGAACTTGCACAGAATGCAGTTTTTTTTTCCCGTTCACGCGAGTTCGAACGGTGGTGCATGCAGGCCCAAGGGAAACTTGCACAGAATGTAGTTTTTGTTTTTCCCCTTCGCGTGAGTTCGAAAAGCGGTGCCGTGTGGTGGAAGAGTATGGACGCGGGGGGAAGTATGGCCGTGCGCCTTGCTTTCATTCCGGAAACTTCGTACGCGCAGGGGAAAATCGAAAACGGCTGCGCACCACCCGGAAGTTTTCCACCATGCCACGTTGTTGTCGGAATACACACACACACGTGGCAGTGCATATTTCCATGTTGCACAGGTAGATTCATTCAATTTTGCTCAATCGATCATGGAAGTACCATGAGGTCAGCTGCGAGGTTGGAGACTTACCTGTTCTCTAATCTCTCTCTCTCTCTCTATATATATATATACAGCCCCTCGTTTGTTGTCCTCTTCTCCCTCTCTGCCTACGGTTTACCGGGCAGTTCTATTTGACGATATATAGGGTTCAGCCTCCTGATGAGTCGGTGAAACTCCGACGAAACAGTTTGTCACAGCCCCTCGTTTGTT